TGCAGAGACACTTATGTGAGTCCTCCCTGCTCCCCTGCCAGGTGGCTGCAGGCTGCAGAGACACTTATGTGAGTCCTCCCTGCTCCCCTGCCAGGCGGCTGAAGGCTACAGAGATGTGAGTCCGCCCTGCTCCCCCGCCAGGCGGCTGCAGGCAGACTTGCCTGGCTTGCAACTTGGCATTATATCAAGGGGTTAAAATTTTTCTCTTGAGAGTTGATAGTTACAAGTTAGCTTTCAAGGTTTTTGACTGGGCCAAAAGACTTTGAGGATAAGATGACCAACTCGTTCAGGTCTGCCTGGGGCTCTTCCAGTTTGGGCACTGACTGCTCCACATCCCAGGGCGCCCCTCAGTCCCTAGGATGGGTGAAGATGGTTGGTCACCTTGAGAAACACCTTCAGACCAAGTCTCAAAAGACTTATGAATGAACTCTCACAAGTATTTTCTTACAAAACACAAGAAACAAGACCCTCTTTAGCCAGCATAGAAAGAATGGCAGTTTCCGTGCCACATGTAACAGCTTAGAATCATCAGATACTGAATGCAATATAAATTTTAAAATTCCTAAATCAGGAGCTTTGAACGTGTGTTTTCCTCTGTCCAAGTCTGTTTCTTTGTTTTTCTGCATGTTTTTAAAAAATCACAAAGCAGCCAGACATCAGGTTGTCAGAATATCACTTCACGTTTACTCTGTGAGACACGGACTCTCAATTTAATATATTGCTCTGTTTTGAGGAAGGCTTTTTTGGTGTTTTGCTGATTTTCTTGTTGTTTACTGTCTCTCCATTGTTATATTTCTTTATAAAACCCCACTGGGAATTTTAAGTTCGTACATTATTTTCTTTTCCAATTTAATTCTGATAAGTATGTTCTGAACTCCGTCTGGGTACTTTGTAAAGTGTGGATTTAAGAAGTATTCTCCTTAGTGTAAGAACTTTGAGAAGTTGGCACTTAATATGTCCTGTGCTTTCAGTTTGATTTGTGTGTTGTGTCCACTTGGATGTGATACGTAGTTTCTATGTATCTGTTGCCCTAAAGCAAAATGTCTAATCATGTGTAGTTATTCTCAAATTTTTTATTTTCATTAAATGATACTTTTGCAAATATAGTATTCAAGCACATCACTTTAGCGCATCCTATTGGTGTTTGCTTTTTCTTCTATTATTTTTTTCTGGCTTCATTGAGGTATAACTGACAGGTTGTGTATATTCACAGTATCCAGTGTGATCTTTTGACATCTGTGTACAATTGTGAAATGATTACCATACAAACTAACGGACATATCCGGCACCTCACGTAGTCGTAGTTTCCTTTCTTTCCACATCATTTTGTTTACAATGACTGATTTCATCCAAATGCACTAAAGAGTTATATTATCATCTGGACATATGTATATCAAAAATTTGGAGGAAATTAGATGAAACCTTAGAAAAAATAAATACTTTTATCCTGAATAAATACATTGTAAATCTTTGTAAGATGAGTACTAAACATTGGCATGTTGGCACAAACCAGTTCTAAAAAATACAAGCCAATACAGCAGCACCTAGTGTCTGTTCAGTTTAGAATAAAACTGTGTTAGCTGCCGTTAACCAGGTCAGCTAAAACATAACATTTATGCTTTGAGTGGCACTGTGCTTCTGTAAGGGGTTGGGGAAATGTGTATTGGCATGGTTAACAAAAGGTGCAGTAAAAAAAATTTTTAATAGATAAAATACTGTCTTTTTGGTGGCGCGTGTAACTCAAGCGGCTAAGGCGCCAGCCACATAACACCAGCGCTGGCAGGTTCGAATCCGGCTGGGCCCACCAAACAATGACAACTACAACCAAAAGATAGCCGGACATTGTGGCAGGCGCCTGTAGTTCCAGCTACTCAGGAGGCTGAGGCAAGAGAATCGCTTAAGCCCAGGAATTGGAGGTTGCTGTGAGCTGTGACACCACAGCACTCTACCCAGGGCTATAGCTTGAGGCCCTGTCTCCAAAAAAAAAAAAAAAAAAAATTGTCTTTTTAAAAAATTCTTTCATAACTTTTTGTTCAGGCAAATATTGAAAATGATTTCAAGTTTTTGATTGCTGTGCATCCTTAAGTCTTTTTAGAACTGTGGCTCTAGGAAGGAAAATATAATTTCTTATAATTTTTTGTGTTAGGTCAAGAGCAGAGATTGAACATGAAGCGTTGATTGACGGAAACCTGGCTACTGAAGCAAACCTGATCATTTTGGATACATTAGAGATCGTTGTTCAGGTAAGAACACAAAGAAAAAGAACTTAAAACACACATTTGGTATATTGGGGTTGGGCATAAAGTATTCATTGAGTCATATTAGTTATATTTAAATATCAACAGTCCCTAGAGGTTTAGTTCTGAGACTGTCTGTAAATGCCCACAGCTTCTGTTTCTTTGAGGATAATTATAAACTCTGTGTCTCTTTGTCTCTTCCTCCAAGGCCTCCTCTTGCATTTCCAGACGTGCTCTGAGTATCTGTAGTTTAGTGTTCCACCAGCACACTCTGTTCAGCATGTACGCACAGACGTGGCTACGTAGGGACGCCCTGAGTTTGTGCGTCATCTTCTGTGTGCTACAGCGGTGTTTTAAGTTCTTTATCAGTGGTTGTGTCATCTGGCCCTAACAGTAGCCCTCTAGGCAGTGTTATCCTGTTAGTAACAATAGTCATAACTGACAGTTAGTTAGTTTTTCCTAAGCACTTTACAAATATTAACTCATTCAGTCCTCATAAGAAACTGATGCAGTTGAAACTGTCAGTATCCTCATCGTGTAGATGAGGACACTCAGGCCCAGACGGGAATTGCGTGTGGTGACACAGCTGATGGATGAGTGGAGGAGCCAGGATTTAGGATTTAGCAGTAGCAGGATCTCTCGGTTGTTTGGTGAATATGTCTCTCACCTCTTTCACCGTTCCTGTCACTCTGCCAGGCTCTTACTTCAGAGCTATGACAGTGGCCACGCGCTTCACGAGAGTCTGTGTTCTTCCCTTGTCATCCATTCTGTACATTTTCTGAAGATTATTCTTTTTTTTTTTTTTTTTAAAGACAGAGTCTCACTTTACTGCCCTTGGTCAAGTGCTGTGGAGTCACAGCTCACAGCAACCTCCAACTGCAGGGCTTAGGTGATTCTCCTGTTTAGCCTCCTAAGTAGCTGGGACTACAGGCGTCCACCCGAACACCCAGCTATTTTTTGTGGCAGGTTGGCAGGGGCTGGGTTTGAACCCGCCACCCTCAGTATATGGGGCCAGCGCCCTACTCACTGAGTCACAGGTGCCGCCCCTGAAGATTATTCTTGAATAATTTTAATAATTTACCCTGATTAATTTTTTTTAATATTTTTTGATTGCCTAAAGAAAAAAATAGGAAACTCTTAGACGTAGAAGGCTCTTTGTATGTTGATACTCTATTAGTTGGCGTAGGTCTAAGCTGGAAGGAGAATGAAAAGAAATAGTGAGTCCAAGGCCATGTCCAAGATGGCTGCTTGAGCTCACTCCCTGCCCGCGTTCCAGTCAGGGAATAAAGAAGGTCAGGCACAGCATGCTTGTTCTTTAAGGGCGTGGCTCAGGTTAAACATCTCTCTCTAACTGGTTCAAAGTCCCCAGCTAAAATTCAGGAATCCAGTTGTGTTTTTTGTTTTTTTGTTTTTTCTTGAGACAGAGTCTCACTTTGTTACCCTTGGTAGAGTGCTGTGGCATCACAGCTCACAGCAACCTCAAACTCTTAGGCTTAAGTGATTAATT